AATGCGATTAACATATTCCGTGAGAGAGATGGGATTATTCTACACAAGGAATTTGGCATGTTCGGTGGATTTAACATCGTTTGACACCAGATCACAAGAGTAGACTGATCAAATCACGGGAAAATCTATTTTTTTGAGGCTGATCCAACTGGTTTTCTTGAACGCTACCTAACCTACGATGGATCTTAGGTTCATTACTTTGAACTAGAGACAAAAAGACAATCCATGTAGTCGAAACACCACTTCCTCACATGCTCCGAGGAAGGAAAAATCGTTTCATCTGCCGGGCTGGTGATGGGCTCAGTTTTGCGAGAAGCAAAAGGGATTGTGTTTATTGACTATCTTCGAAAGTTACCAACCATCGATGGAGAGTATTATGCCAACTTGCTGAGATAGTTACGAAAGGCTACCAATATCAAACGGCCAGGTAAACTGAATAAAGGGGTCTTGTTTCATCAGGAAATCTTCAGCACATAAGTCCTTGGTTTCTCTTGATTTAGATCGATTTCATTATCATCTACGTTCAAAATCCCGGCTTCTAGCTGGCTGTTGAAAACATATCACAGTCGGTGAATTGCACTGTGCCAAACATCAAAGTGAGCATAGACTATCTGCTATGGAAATCTGCGTTCAAAACCCCATCTTCTAGCTGGTTGTTGAACACATACCACAGTCGGTGGATGGCAGAGCAAAGTTGAGAAGAGTACAAAAACATAAAATTTATTAAATTATGGACAGGAAATTGTGGAAAACCATGACCGCCAATCTCCTGAAGAGACACGGCATATGGAAGAAGAGCCTGGTTAAACATTTAACATTTATTCTTTTGCCAGGTTGATGAATAAGCGTAATCAGCGTTGACACTGTTTCATCCCCATACGCAATATTGCTTACATGCATTAAACACACTGTCACCGCTGGGTGTTGACTTCAGTGTCCATTTTTATATTTACATGCACTCTGTCCCTCATACTGATTATTTTAATGCATAAATATAGCATACCATAAAACTACATTTATCATATATATATATATATATATATATATATATATATATGTGTGTGTGTGTGTGTGTGTGAAAAGTCTGTGTATATAAATATGAATATATATATATATATATATATATATAATTATTCATATATTATATATATGGTACTTATTAGAAAGCGCTCAATATCAGAGATAGAGCTAACATATTTGGTTTGATTGATGTGAGTTTGTGACCCCGGGTTTCACGCTTTTGCGATCGTCAGACAAAACCCAGGTCACAAACTCACATCAATCCAACCAAATATATATATATATATATATATATATATATATATATATATATATATATATATATATATATATATAATAATCCTTTCTATTTCTCTAATTATATTTTGATATTAAATTGAAGTTAATAAAGGATGGCGCCGTATTTTTTGTTATCCTAAGTACTTTTGATCTCCTTTGTGATCATCCTCAGGGTTGAATTGCGAAGACAAATTTAATGTAATTGTAATTGTTGTGATAGTGATTTCGCAAACATGCGGGAACGTGACATGCTATAATTATTTTTGAATTAACCGTATTTTGTAAACAAGCGTTCCTAATCAAAGGGCGATAATCAGAGATGGTAAAATTGCAACTTGGTAAATTTCGAAATGTTAAATGTTAGTCAACTCAAATACATTTTAAAACAATGCAACAATAATCATAAAAAATTTTTGTCAGTGTTGGTTGGTTGCTTGATTTTGATATAGAGTGTCTCGAGAATATATACCCTAGAAGAAAATGGTGGTTACCTTCTTTTAAAAGATTTCTTGGGTACGGCTTCAGGTCAAATGGAAGGAGTGAGGTTAGGTAGATTCTGCTGCAGCGATACATTACATAAAGGAGTGCCTGCTAGCTTACCTAAAATATTTACATTTGAAATACTGGCGTATACCTTGGACACCGACCTCGGGCCGCGATAGAGAGATAGGCAAATGTCTCAGCAACGTGGCAAACTCCAGAGTACCTGTATTTATATTCAGAACCAGCCTCAATCGACACACTGGCGCCGAAATGTCAGTTTCCTAATTAGAAAAACTCAGAAACAGTTGCATGCGAACAAGCAGGTAGACACGGAGCCAGAAAGCAGGCTTTCAGTAAATGCTTACACAGGAAGTTGCATCTAAATTTTAATGTATTGTCTGGAAAGACTGGCGCCAAGCAATTTCCAAGAGAGACGAGAGAAAGGCGGGAGCGGGAGCCAGAAGGTATTTTATCGAGTTACGACACTGAAGTAGTTGACTTGTTTCTTTCTTTTTTTTTTTGTTAGAACAAATGATAACGATATGTTGCGATAAACAGAAGTAAGGAAAAGAAAGCAAGAGAAAGGAAGTATATAAAGAGAGAGAGAGAGAGAGAGAGAGAGAGAGAGAGAGAGAGAGGGGGGAAGTGATTTTTGACTGAGATGAAGAAATATCATTATTATATTCGGACCATCATATCAATAAAGTCTCTTATGTTCCCGCCATTTCGGATCCCACCGATTTGATAATTTATCTCTGTATTTTTGAGATGAGGAATATGCATTAGAACCAGCATGCCTGTCACAAGATTTCGACTGTTGTGATATCGGGACTACTTCAGCGGTCCCTCTTCTTTCTAGCTAACCAACGGACACATGACCCAGTACATTGGTTGCCAAATGATGTGGAACGCATCTCAGGTGCGGTGGAAGAGGATAGCAGGTGAGGCGGAATGTTTGAAAGATTTAGAAAAAGTTTCAAACAATTCACATGCCCAAAATAAATATTATTTCAAAATTTAAAATATCATTAAGGATTGTAATTGCATACATAAACCCCAGTATAAATAGTTATGAATAATAATTGACCGATTTTATAATTGTGATATTTTACAGTATATCAAGTATTAAGAATATAGTAACTAGGGTCGACAAATTGGAGGAGAAAGTTATCAATGATAATGTTCTGACTTCGAATCTGCAATTACCTCCCTTTAACCTACTCTCTGTTTTTTTTGTTTTTTTTTTTATTTTTAAATGTATTTCTTATCACATAAAATTTATTGAGGTGCGAGCAAATTTTCAATCCCAAAATACCGACCAGAGAAAAAATATTCGGAAACCAACTTTTATCACAATATTTTGTTATTATTGTTTTTATTTTCTTTATCATTTCATTCCAAGCAAGGCGATAAAGCCACTAAGACACAAGAGTTACTGAGAATGAAAGAAACCGAGGACACTTTATTGAAGATAAAGGAACTTAATTCAAGGTGACAGAAGATAGCGCATTTAAAATTAATGATTTGGTTTGGTAAATCAGTTAAATATGACTAATTCAATAATACATCTCCGATTTAACAAACCAAAATCACTACACTGTGGCGGTTTACAATCTTACAAAGATTTTCTCACGTTGATTTGACTCCGTGAAATACACTGTCCGTATCAGATTTAAATATTTGTTTCCACTGCAGATATTTCTTTACTGTAAATGAATATTGCTGATTATTTGCGATTGAAATGCATTGTAAATAAGAAAGAAATTATTTTTCAGTTTTAAAGGATATGTCGAAGTTGCTAAGACCTACACTAAAAATAAATCTTCCTCCTCATCACATAAGTCAGTTGTTCTCAGACGGTGCAGCGCCAGAGGATAGCAGGTGAGACGCAATGAGTGGAAGATTTAGAAACAGTATCAAACAATTCACATGCCAAAAATAAATATTATTTCAAAATTTAAAATATTATTATGTATGACTTGTAATTGCATACATGTGTCCCAGTATAAATAATTATGAAAGATTATTAACCGATTTTATCATTGTGATATTGTTGCATTATATCAAGTATTAAGAATATAGCAACTCGGGTCCGCAAATTGGAAGAGAGAGTTATCAATGATATTGTTCTGATTTCAAAATCCGCAGTTATCTCCCTTTAAACTACTTTCTATTTTTATCACATAATATTTGGTGAGGCGCGAGAAAATTTTTATTCTGAAAATGCGGCACAGAGAAAAAAAAAGTTTGGGAACCACTGTCTTAGCAGATTAAAGTGTTGCTTAAAACATATGTAATTCCCTGGCTGTAAGTGTTCAATCCCTTGCTCCTGTAGTATTGAAAACTGTCATATTCTGGTTCAGTGGAAGAAACGAACAAACGACATAAAACTAAATACGTCTGCTGAGTATTAAATATGACTTACCTCCCCTGTTATGAGTTATCTCCTCTAAGCAGGGAAAGCTGAAGGAGAACACTTTGTCCCGCTGATTGAATAAAGCGGTCTGTTTAGAAGGTTACTGAGTACGAAAACATATATCTGAGAAGGCCGGAGGGTAGCACGGGCAAAACGTTGTGAGTATAACAAGATGAGCAAGTTGGTCCGAAATGAATGGCATATTATAAGAAGACATTAAAAAAGAGATTGTCTATTGAAATCTAGTCTAGCACAAGATCTCAAGCGTAAGGCGCCTTGTAAGGAACAAATATACTTCAGTAAAAATGTTTCATAATAACTAAATTGTTAACCAAAGCTTCATGTCTAAGCACTCTCGATCTTTATTTGTATAAACAAGATATATACGTGTAATGGGTCCTCGACTTACGTTGGGGATGCGTTCCTACGTCGCTAGGTAACCGGATCATCGACGTAAGTCGGAACATACCTACATAAGAAATCTTTACTCTGTTGATCCTCTCTCTCTCTCTCTCTCTCTCTCTCTCTCCCTCCCTCCCTATCTATCTATCTATCTATCTCTCTGTATGTAAAAATTTTTTTTCTGTTGGTTTTCTCTCTCTCTCTGTGAAATTTTTCCTCTGTTGGTTCTCCTTCTCTCTCTCTCTCTCTCTCTCTCTCTCTCTCTCTCTTTTCACTCTGTGAAATTTTTTCTCTGTTCCCTCTCTCACACACGCTTTCTCTCCCGTTGTGAAATCTTTCCCCTCTGTTAGTACCCACCCTCTCTCTCTGTCTTTCTCTCTCTGAATGAAATTTTTCTCTGATGATTCTCTCTCTCTCATGCTTTTTCTCTCTCCGCGAAATCTTTCCTCTGTTGGTACACACACACACTCTCTCTCTCTCTCTCTGTGTCTTTCTCTCTCTGATTGAGATCTTTTCTCTGATGAGTCTCCCTCTCTCTTTCTCTCTCTGTGTCTTCCTCAAGGTTTTTCTCTCTCCGCGAAATCTTTCCTCTGTTGGTACTCTCTCTCTCTCTCTCTGTCTTTCTCTCTCTGATTGAAATCTTTTCTCTGATGAGTCTCCATCTCTCTTTCTCTCTCTCTCTCTCTGTCTTCCTCAAGCTTTGTCGCTCTCCGTGAAATCTTTCCACTGTTTGTTCTCTCTCTCTTTCTCTCTATGGTTGAAATATTTTCTCCCTCTCCCTGTCTCTTTCTCTCTCTGTGGGAAATACTTTTATATCTTGGTTCTCGCTCTCTCTCTCTCTCTCTCTCTCTCTCGCTTTCTGTTAAATGTTTCCGCTGTTGGGTCTGTCCCTCTCTCTCTCTTTCTCTCTCTGTGAAATCGTTCTCTCTTCGCCCCCCCTCTCTCTCTATGTGAAATATTTTCTCTGTTGATTCTCTGTCTCTCTTCTCACTGTGTGTGAAATATTATTTCAGTTGCCCCTCTCTCTTTTTTTCTTTCTTTCTTTCTTTCTCTCCCCTTTTCTCTCTCTCTCTATCTGTCTCTGTGAAAACTTTCCTCTGTTGGTTCTCACTCTCTCTCTCTTTTTCTCTCTTCGTGAAATCTTTTTCTCTGTTGGTTCTCACCCTCTCTTTATTTCTCCCTTTCTCTGTGAAATATTTTCTCTATTGGTTCATTCTTTCTTTCTTTCTTTCTTTCTTTCTTTCTTTCTTTCTTTCTTTCTTTCCAAACATGTTTTATTTCTATCCAACGAAGATTCTTTCTTTCTTTCTTTCTTTCTTTATTTATTTATTTATTTATTTATTTATTTATTTATTTCTTTCTTTCTGCTTGAAATCTATTGGTTCACTCTCTCTTTTTCTCTCTCTGTGAAATCGTTTTCGCTGTTGTTTCTCTCTCTATCTCTCTATCTCTATTTGAAATATTTTCTCAGTCAATATTCAGCTCACTTCTTTATCTCTCTCTCTCTTTGAAAATTAGTCTCTCTCTCTCTCTCTCCCTCTCTCTCTCTTCCTCTCCGAAAAATCTTTTCCCTATTAGCATCTGATTCGCTTCTCTCTCACTCTCTGTGAAATAATTTCTCACTTGATATCCGACTCGATTCTCTCTCTCACTCTTTGTATCTCTTTACACACACAATGAAAAAGGAAGTTGATGAAATAAAATGTATTGCAGAATTAGGCGCGCCGTTCAGTACAAAAAGGTGATTTACTTTTAAACTCCAGGTGTTTGCATCAATTGAAAAAAGAAAATACATTAGAATTAGGAAACAAGTCATAAAAAAGTTAAGAAAAAGAAAAAAAGAGTTGAAAAGCCTTTTTTTAATATGTTTGTAAACATGTGATATGATATGGAGACCAGAAGAGGAAATGTCAGATATCCGAAACCGACCTATTTACCAATTCACATACTTACATATCTATCTATCTATCTATCTATCTGAATTTAGTCAATTATCCAGCATACTTACATATCTATCTATCTATCTATCTAAATTTAGTCAATTATCCAGCAGTCTATTCCTATCTATCTATCTATATATTGTTCTCTTTTTATCGATATATCTCTATATATATTGTATTATGTTTATATCGATCTATCTATATATATATTGTTCTCTTTTTATCGATCTATCTATACATTCATATCTGCTCGATGCGTATCCAAATGTAAAAAAAATGACGTCACGACGCTCTTCTGTGGCTCAATCGGTAAAATCATGTCAGGCTATATGACGGTTCCGTATAGGGTACAGGTTCAATTCCTGTCGGAGGACGCATATTTTCTATGAAAATTTCTCGGAAATTCAGGCCAGTAAATGTTGTTAATATTGTTTATTATAAACAGAGCATTTACTTAAATATTTGTGTCTATAAAAAGAACATATAAACATAAAAAATACGTCTTAAAATAATTATCGGACTTTGTCCATTTCATATATATATATATATATATATATGATGATAGACATTTCGTTGTCAAGTATAACCATTATAGGATATCATTGAAAAACTTAATTGCGCCTTGAATGGATAGGGCTCTTTAAACCGGACAAACTTTTTTTAAAATTCTGGTACAAAGTTGTCAGAAATGAGATACATACATTTAGCTGTCATTAGGTTTATTTTTCTGAATGTTTGCGTGTCTTTTCAATTCACCAACTGACTTGCACATTTCCCCAGAAATGTGACATAAATTGCTGGTATTTAATGCCATTTCGTAGTTAGTGCCCTGGTGCGATGACTTAGCATATAATTTTCCTGGGTTTCTCGAGCAATGCTTGCCACAAATTTCATCCGTGAAGTCATTCCTGCCACCGATATGTTCTGGAAGTTTTACATTTCCGGACACAATGGAAAATAAAATTTTCGTAATGAACTTTCTTCCATCAAATACAGTCATTCTTTGCACGGGAGTTCCAGTTAAATGACCTAATATTTACCAGACTCGTTGATTCTTTCAAGCTGTTCTTCTAACGCTTCTTTGGTTGCTGAGCTCGTCGCTTTTTATCAATCAAGCCATACAAATCTTCTTAGGAATCCTGCTGAAATCTATGCGAACAACATTACCATTCCAACACCGTGTATATTTGAGGATTGTAGCTTCAATGCTCTCGCAATGACTTCTAATTCGCCGACATACTTCCACCAGTTGATTCCAATGATTCGACACAAGCCTCGTTGATAAAAGTCCTCAAGTTGCTTCAAGAGATCGCGGCAAACAACCCATGTTTGCAATATATGCACTAACAATGTTAAGACACGGGCATAGAGTAGATTGGTTTAAGCCTTTTTCGAAACACCATGCTGTCTCCATGATTACTGTTCCAAATTACCAAATGCAAGAGTAGCATTTGGAATCCTCTTCGACAATTCTTCAGCGAGTATGTTTTAGTTAGGATGCTACAAATATAAACAAGGTTCTTCTATGAAAATCAATAAAGCAATTAATATTATTAATAAGATTTATGTTAATAAACTAAATAAGTGCAGTGATAACAATAATAATAAAATACGCCATGATAAAATTAAATTAAAATTAAAGTACTAATAAAAATAATATGTATCAATTAAAATAAAATAAGATAAAATAAGATAAAATAAAATGGAAACATTTGACAAATCTAATCTGGGTCACAGTATTTGAGTAGAAATTTGTTTTATGTAGGCAGGTGCTCATTAATTCAATTCTTTCGATTAAAAGATTATGATTGTTTATATTTTTCAGGATTATTAATTTCTCAGAAAAACAGGTTACATCAGTTAGTTTTCTGGCTGATGGATTTAGCTTTCGTTACTGGTTCTCGGGTAATAATTCGGTTTTTATTCACGCTTTTCAGTTTCCAGAAAAAATTAGAGAGAGCAGTGCTCTTACTATATTTGATATTGTCTAATGTGATTTGGTGGCGGAAGAAGCGCGATTTTCAATGGTTTGGTTATATATATGTATAATGCATTATGCACACACACACACACACACACACATATATATGCATTATAGATATATAGGCATTACTAGAAATCTTCAAATATAAATCTGCATTACATATATATATATATGTATATATATATATATATATATATATATATATATATATATATATATATGCATTATATATATATATGTGTGTATTACTTGAAATCTTCAAATATATATCTGCATTTTATATATATATATATATATATATATATATATATATATATATATATATATATATATATATATATATATATATATATATATATATATATTGCTTCAAATATTACTTATTGTGTATACCTATGTATGAAAAAAGACAACCTGTTTTGATTTTTAACATTTGTGTATTACGTTTAGTGGCCTACACACACACACACAAAAAATATACATACAAACCTTTATATACATACATATCTATGCATGCTAAAATTCATACACAGACACATACAACCCCCACACACACACATATATATATATATATATATATATATATATATATATATATATATATATATATATATATATATGTGTGTGGGGGGTCTGTGTGTGTGCAAACACATATAACAAAGTAGATAAGAAAAACAGGACCTGCCTACAACATAATCTCCAAACCACGGAACTAATGCCGTAAGAGAAAACTTAAGATAAACTATGATTCGAGAGCATGATAAACTCGTAAACAATATGATAGAACTCGTTTTCAAATGCAAATATGAACATAAACTCCTACTACGCGATCTGCAGCTAATTCCTAAATCTAATAAAATGTCGTTTCGAAACTTAGGCCTTTTAAAGCTATAGAAACTTATTGCTTAAATGACTATATCAATAAATATAATATAATAAAATATGGCTACATATAGAAGTATAATAAGCGAATCAGAATGCATGGCTATAAAAAAAAAACCTTCATTAAAGTTGATTTCACTATAAATACAAATATATAAAAATATACAAAAAATTAAAAATATAGAAGAAACACCATTCATTGGCTATTAGAATACCTGATAGCGCTCGGCTATATAAAACATTCGAACAGTTTTTACACACTTTATGTACGGAAAAGAAAACGCTTATACGAACACAAGAAAAACTATATCTCAGTACCTAACTATTATTAAAAAATATACAAATAAATTGACCTAAATTCAAACCAATCCCAAATTAAAAACTGTTCCCACCAAAAAAAATAATAGTTAGAATGAACTACAACAACCAACCCCAAAATTGAACAAATAGCTTTAATCAAATTCTCAAACCAAAACAAAACTGTTAAATACGTGATATAAACAAATTTTTACTACGTTAATTAAATAAATAAAATAAAAAAAAAAAAAACGAGCAATATAATTTGACCCAAATAAATAAACAAAGCGACTTCGGTAAAAAAATAACCGCCATAATAGAATACCCACAATGCACCACTAGCCCGTATATATATAAATAGCCGAGAAAAATAACAGCATATGTGGCCTGACGAATATAGCATGAAACAGACTGTCGCCTCTAAGTGTTGACTTCTATGTTCACTTTTATATTTAAAACGCTCTATCTCTGATATTGAGCACTTTATCCCATAAATATAAACTATATTTCTTTATATTCAGCTCCTGGTAAACAGTAGAAGAGCAAATACACATTTATAACAAGTATGGACATGGAAATATTTAACCTCGACTACCTAAAAAAACATACCCATCCCATCCCCTACTATATATAAACTAAAATTAATTGAAAAAATAGAAAGTTTCCTAAAAAGAATGAGATGGAAAGTCCACTTTTTAAATCAGGACCTCCACAATAACAACACACCTAAGAAGGAAAAATACGGCTTCAAAACAAAGAAATGCCCCCCACAACAAAAAGAATTAGATGATTTCGAGAAAGACTTAACTGACCTAGTTAGAAACTTAAAATTCCATAAAAAACAAGATGCATTCCAAAAAAAACTAAAAGCAGATATAACTAAAATAAACAATTCAGCAAGTGTATTTATCGCTGCTGACAAAACGAGAAATTTATACAAACTAAGCCCTCCTACACACAATAAATTACTCAAGAACAACATAACCAAAACATACAAAAAAGGCACCCCAAACAACAGAACACGATATCAATAAGGGAAGCTAAAACAATCGCCCAAAAATTAGACCTAGATGACCGAATAAATTGTATTAGCAAGGCACGAGCCTTTATCACACTAAAAGACCATAAAGAAAATTTCAAAACTAATCCTGCATGTAGACTCATAAACCCAGCCAAAAGCGAACTAGGTAAAATAAGCAAAAACAATACTAGAAAGAATTAATTCTGAACTTAGGAAGAAATTAGGAGTAAACCAGTGGAAAAATACGAAAACAACTATTGACTGGTTCCACAACATAAATAACAAACAAAATTGCCAATTCCTACAATTAGACATAAAAGAATTTTACCCATCTATAACAGAACGTATGCTAGATAAGGCCATCAACTTAGCTCAGGAACAAATAATAATAAAACCAAGCGAAATCAACATCATTAAGCACTCCCGTAAATCATTATTATTCCACAACGAAGAAGCATGGA